TTGAATGTGATTAGCAACCTTGTGATCTTCCGGATACATTTCGCTAGTATACATTGGTCGATGGCCTACAAATATTAGCCATGGGGTCACACTACGATCGACTGATCTCATATCTCTCTCTAGCCACTTGTACTGATTTGTACCAGCAGTGAAATTATGCTCTGTGCTCATGAAAACAAAATGTGCAGCTCCATATTTGAAAGAATACCACCAGATCTTGTTACCGTTGTCTGGCATGTGAAAGCGATGCAATACAGGCACGCCACATTCTCCACCTGAATCGTGCCCATAGTTACCCCAGGGAGGATGAAAACCATCAGTTTTATCTCCACTGGGATCTCTGATACCTTTTCTATCGCTCATGTAATCCTGTTCGTGATTGCCAATGCCAATCATGTAAGGGACTCTAGTAGCTAGTGGCTCTATTAGGTTCATCCATACATCCCATAGGTAAGAATATCCCACTGCATACGACAGGTCTCCTTGATGTATGATGAACCTTACTCCATTGTCTCTAATGTCACTCAAAGCTAATTGAGCTGTTGCTTGAGCAGCAGGTAAACCAGTGCCAGTGCTAATACCCATGTCACCGTAAGTAAGAAAAGTAAAGGTTCCTTGGTCCCCAATGTGTGGTGAGGCTACAAATGAATGCACATCACTCATTGCCTCTGTACTCCCATATTGATAGTAATATAATGTATCGGGTATAAGATCTGTCAGTAGTACATCATGAAAGTAGCCTGGATGTATGAAATTTATATCAGCACGGGCAGGCTCACCACACATGTCTGCTGCTTTATATGTTGTACATCCACCTATTGATTTTAAGGCTAGTTTATACGGATCAGTTCCATAAACTACAATGGATGTCTTGTTAGTCCCAGATGTCCATTGTACTCTCATTTCATTTGGATTACCAGTAAGTGCTAGATGGCCATGAAGAGGCGCACAGTCTCCTCCTTTAAAACTAATGATGTTACTTCTTGCTATTAGTCTGACTCTATTGGTTTCGTTGCTATAATAGCGAAACTGGCAGTCACTCCGCAAGTTGTAAAGCTGCAATTGGGCAGAGTTTTGAGGAAAATCCTTTGGAAGAATGTAATCAATGTATTTATTAATGTTGGAGTGGACAGGACAGTACAAGGCAATCCAATCAGTGGGAGATACAGTACTAGTCCATGATAGAGTGACCTCTTCTGCAGTATTAATAAGAGTTGGGGTGACCTGGAGCTCAACAAATGAATCAACCGTCACATCTTGAACGAGTTGCTCAGCTTCTACTACAATACGGTAGCCTGGAAGACTAGAGTCAATGATTTCTCCATTTGGAGTCAGTTTTAAGAAGTAGGAGGGAACAGGGTGAAAAATACCGGGATACTTTTCATGAACTGGATCCCTAGGCTGTGTGAAATTAGTATCAGGACTACTTAAGAACCAGACAAGGATTATAATAAGGAATACAGCTGCCATCACTATCTTTGCTTTGTAGTCCATAGAATTGATTATCCTCATTACAACCCTCATGGCCATGGTGGGTTAACCCCTCTTATTAATTTTTCATTAATCAATGGTAACATACTTTTAAATAATGATCTACATCTAAGAAAATCTACAGCACTATTGTTTTAATAATTATTTCGAGTGAGTGTGTGTGTCTGTACTAGCGTCTTTCCCAAGCCTTTCTTTCTAAAAACTCTTTAGTGACCTGCTCGATAAGAGGAGTCAAATATTGTACGTCCTAAGAGAGAGAAAGAAGGTACTTTAATACATGAATATACTAAAATAATAAATTTCCAGTCATTATTAACGTCCCAGGCTACTTATTAAACTCTAGGCACTTGTAAAGTTAAGTTGCAGGGAAACTTTGTGAAAGCAAGTTATTTAGAAATCAAGCAATCTAATTAGTTAATTACAACTACGCATGGTAGAATAATAATAATATTTCTCTAATATTATTAATACTTTGTTTTTGCTTTTATAATAATACTAATAATAATAATAATAATAATAATAATAATAATACTAATATTATAATACCTCTTCAGGTTTCGTCCATTGGTCCCTTGGTAATATGGAGTGCTTCATTGAGAGATCCAGTGCTCTCTTGATACGGAACTGCCTCAGATTCATGACATCCTCCGGTAGACGTCTCACTGCCTCCTTAACATTCTCATTGTACTCAGCATCAACCAAATCGTCTCTGAAAAGACCTGTTCGTGGGTGTGGCCAATATTAAGTACAGTAAGATGCTATACGTACAATTGGTACTTTTATCAAGTTACCTAGCCTCCTATAGCCCGAGTTATTCCTATACCAGGTGGACATGGCATTCAAGAGTCTTGTTCCAAGCCCTACTGGTAATTTAGATGAGGCGGCCATTTTGTTTGTATTCGATAAATCCGCACACTATCAGTATAACACCGTATACATTAAAGCTTGCTTTTTCTCCGTACATTGCCCGTGCATTTTAATTATTCGTGCACGTCAGTTTATTTAGTCCGTGCATTAACACCCACGCTCCCTCAAAGGTATGCATTGACCACCTCCTACAGCATTCCGATAGAGAACAGGACTTTAATACTCTCTCCTACCCCTTCTCTCCTTCTGCTCTTCTCCACTGACCGTCATCTCTGCTACCAAAGACAATCACAGCTTCTCCCGCCATTCAGACTGTCATTCATTGCCTATAAATCTCATTAAAAATCGTCCTCCTTTTTCTCTCTCCCCTCTCTCTCTCCTCTTTCACTCAGTGACAAGATGTTAAAGGCTTGTATGGGCCTCAATTGCAGCAGACAGATTGATTATGTCGATCGTCGCTCCTGCCAGTTACAAGAGATTCCTGATGATATCTATCGTTATGAGGATACCCTTGAAGACCTAATGATCGATTCCAACATGATTCAGGAATTACCGCCGGTACGTATTACAGTAATGCTGCATTGATTCGAAATGATACGAATCTGATTGATTTGAATGGCACAAATTGTATTTGATTAGCTACTCATTTGGCTTATATTGGTAGATTCAAGTCGTGCCTTTGTTTGTTGCACTTCTGTTCTAAAATCACATTTATACTTTGCTGGTAATAATTGGTGCAATGTAATCAATTAGCGTTCAGTCAATAAGAATAAATGCAAAATAATTAACTTGTTATTACGTACGGATGCACATGTACATGCAATAATATTTTGGCTAATTGATTTATTTGCATGCCATTTGTTTGTTTTAATAACAACCAATGTTAACTCTAGTTTAACATATGTACAGTGGGTGTGCATGTATTTTTGATTTAAGGAGACTCCTACCTCTTTCTCTTTCCTCTCTCTCTCTCTCTCTCTGTCTCTCTCTCTCATTTTGTGTACATGTACATGTGGTTAATTGTGGTATGTCTGAGTTCACATCTTGTGAATACTAATCAAGTTTAGGTCTAGGAGAGAGAGAGAGAGAGAGAAGGAGAGTTATAGAGATTGGATATCAGCAGCTTTCTAAGTACATGCCTTTGTAATGGCAGAAATATGTATCAAATGAAATTTCTCACTTTATTGAATTAAGAATTAATTACATCGGGCATTGATTGATACTAGTAGCATTTCAAGTACATGTATATGTCTTTTCTTAGTACACGCATCATTCATGCACATGTTGCATACATTGAAGTTTGTATTATTGAATGCTACAGTTGTTGAATGGTGTTGATGTACATACAGTTTATACTGTTATTCATTGAAGCCCAATAATCACTGATGTTGTGCACCGTGTACATGTATGTGAGCATGGGAATGGAAGCATAGGAACAAAAGTATAGGAATGAAATTATCATTAAAATTATTGTGATTTGGGAATAGGATAATGAAACTTTGGAATGTAAATATTCACGGGAACTATCGGAGAATTGCAATGTCTTTTGTTTTTTTTTAGAAATTTTTTCGTCTGACGAACCTCAGGAAGTTGACACTTTGTGAGAATGAGATTATGCGTCTCTCGCCGATGATTGCTAATTTCACTAAATTGATCGAATTGGATATCAGCAAGAACTGTGAGTTGTCTCTGTAGCCACACCCATTGACCCGCCCACTTTAGGTTTGGAGGAGGTACCTAGTAATATACAGTTCTGTCGGTCGCTGGCAATACTTGATATCAGCTGTAATCCATTACTGAGGTATTGTTGAATCTTTATATTTTTGTATTATTGCGCATTCTGTTTTTATGCGTGTAGGATACCAGATTGTGTGGCTAACATTGGCAGTTTGACTCATTTGTATATTAATGATGTTGCACTGCCAGCCTTGCCAAGGGAAATTGGAAAGTAAATTGTGTTAAAGTTGTAATATATGCAATATCAAGTATCACTCTCTCTCTCTCTCTCTCTCTCTCTCTCTCTCTCTCTCCCCTCTAGTTTACGGAATCTCATTGTCCTTGAGGCAAGGGAGAATGTTTTGAGAAGAGTACCACCGTAAGTCCTTTAAACCATGCCCATTTATTCTAACCCCACCCACAAATAGTTCGCTTGGTGACATGTTAAAACTTCAGAGACTTGATCTTGGGAATAACGAAATTGAGGAACTGGTAAGAGTTTTTGTAGAATTAAAATCAAAATGTATTTTTTGTTCTCAGCCTCCTACATTTGGTTATCTGGAGGATTTAAATGAGCTATGGCTTGACAGCAACTGCCTCTCCCTCTTGCCAGAGGTAAGCCCTGTCACTTTATCTCTAATTAACGAGCACCTCGTCATGACAACAGAGTCTTTCCCGCCTACACAAACTACACGTGCTCGACGTCACGAAAAACAAACTGGAGAGATTCCCAAATCATTTCTCAAACCTAGTCAATCTTGTCGATCTTCACGCTTCGGAAAACTGCATCGAGTGTCTTCCAGATAATTTTGGTAGGTGTGGTCGTGGGCAGAGTCTAACATTTGCCTATGTTTTGTAGGACTGATGAAAAGTCTCGTTCAAATTAAACTTGACCTAAATCATCTCGTGTATCTTCCTGATTCGATCGGAGAGTAAGCTAATGATTAATAATGATATTACATGTACATGTACAGTACATGTACATGTACAGTACATGTACATGTATATACTGTTCATGTACATGTACATTCATTGTTACATGTACATGTGTATGAAATATTTATTTCTCTCATTTCTTGTTGTAGTTTGCCAATGGCCACTGAAATCTTTCTATTTGAGAACATGTTGGAGAGCATCCCTCCTACCCTCTTTAACATACCCACCCTCCAAATGCTCAACATTGATAGGAACCATGTCATGTACATACCCTCTACCGTAAGTCACATGACCTCATTGCCTTGACAACTTGTCCGTTGTGTACATATACATGTAGATCGGGCGGTGCAAGTCTTTGCATGTTTTTTCGGCGAGAGAGAATGATCTGAGAAGTCTTCCCGAGGAGTTAGGTGAGCTCTCTTCTCTGAGAGTGCTGGACGTTTGTGGGAATAGACTCCACTGCCTTCCTCTCTCCATCTCTAACTTGCAGCTGGATGCCTTTTGGATATCAGGGAACCAGGTAGTCAAAGAAAATGTCTGTACTGTGTGATATGCTTTTTCTCTCTTTCAGCCTCTTCCATTGATATCCCTTCATCAAGAACCTGACCCAGATAATCCTGACAGGAAGGTTCTCACTTGTCAGTTCTTTCCACAGATGGGACCAGAAACATCTGAATTTGGTGAGGGAGAGAGAGGGGGGAGATAGAGAGAGAAATGGGGGAGAGAGAGAGAGGGAGGGAGGGAGAGGGAGGGGAGAGCAATGCTTTGTACAGTACATGTATATTTTAGTATAAGCATAATTTACAATTCTCTTTCTTCTCCTCTCTCTCTCCCCAGATTATATTGATAACAGTGATCCTGAGAGTGAGGAGAGCGGTTTCTCCCAGAGGAGACGTTCTGCTGCTGTCCGTAAGTCCACAAGACTAGCTGTGGCCTTTGACCCAGGTACCCTCGGACTCCCCTCTGGAGAGGATGGAGGAGGAAAGGTGAGGGAGGGAGAGAAGGGAACCTGTTTATGTTTTGTGTTGTAGTTTGTTCGTTTCCCGACTCCGTTTCGTAAAGATCTAAAGAACAAACACAAGAGACCTAAACTTGACGCAAGACCACGCACGACTGTCTTTAGGAAAGGCTCTATGGTGAGGATAATTTTATTATTATAATTATTCTCATTTTGCAACGTACATGCGTTACTATTGTTATTATTATTTTTAAGGATGATTTGACTCTACATTCAGTGGATCCAACTGTTGCTGGTCCTCCACCCGAAATTCTCACTGCATCAGCTACCGACAGAGTAAGTACATGTACATGTACAAGTATGCATGTATTATATTAATATTAATGCTTAATCATTAGTCGACTGAAGAGAAGGAGTTGCAGCCACTCAGAAAAGGTAAGACTAAATCTTTATATTAAAAGAAATATTATTCTCTCTCTCTCTCTCACTCTCTCACTCTCTCTCTCTCTCTTTGTCTTATTCAGACATGTCTTCTGCTGGCTCTTTATTAAAGGCATTTGGTGTTCAGAATTTATCTGAGGGTTACATACCAGGAGCAGTGGAAGAGGAGGAGGTGACAAGAGAGACAGAGTCTGAAGTACAGTCTAACGCAGACCAAGACCTCACCCAGTTACCGCCTCGCTCAAGACTACAGACACTAGAGGTAACGGCCAATTTGCAATGGGAAATTGTATCCAATACACATGTACATGTACAAGTAATGATAAAAAATTTTACTCCAAGTACAATTATGAAGTGATTCGGTGTACTTTTAATTAAAGCAACGAAAATTTTATGCACAAATCTACATGATATAATGCAACACATGTACATGTACTTGTACTTGTACTGATTTGTGTACATGTACATGTAGTACACGTATGTACATGTATAAATTTTGAACTCAGACGCACATAAGTTCATGTATATACTGTATTATTATTATTATTATTATCATTATAAATGCCATACATTTATAATGTTAATGCATGTAGCTTTACTGAGGCATAATTGCATTACAGTTTGAAGGAGTTTGTGTTAATTTTATGTATATACATTTACATTTACATGTACCTGTTTCCCCCTCTCAATAGGTTACTGTTGAGCTAGTCAAAGACAATGCAAGGTTTGGGTTAGGATTCAGCATAGCAGGAGGGAAAGGATCCACCCCTGCCTATGAAGACGTTGATGAGGTACAGTATAACAACTATTATAATAAAAATAATCGTTATTATTATTATTATTTATTATGTTTATTTATTTTGTTTATTTATTATGATTATTTATCATTATGATTATTTATTATGATTATTTATTATGTTTATTCATTATGTTGTTATTATAATTATCTAACATTATTTCATTCTCTGTTTTTAGAGTATTTTCATCACCAGGATCATCAGAGGTGGGCCTGCTGAGAAAGATGGCCGACTTCGTTTAGGAGACAAACTGATCTCAGTAAGTTAAAGTATTTAAACTTATTGTGTTCCGTCAGTTGGTAGAGCTTTTGTTAGCTCAATATGTGAGGACTAGCGTGAACATCCAATGTGAATTGGGTTCATTTATGAGGGAACAGATTCAACAGAGAGAGTGCAATTGTTTTTTAACAAAAAATTTAAATCATTTTATGTTCCTCCATTTCCTACATGTACAGTCTGCATCTTCATATACTTACATTTGTACGTGCATTTACAATTTACATGTACATGTATGCATACATTGTACCTGTGTCTTCTGTTAGTAGTTATTTACATTTAGATGTACATGTACTCATGCACATATATGTTTTCATTATTGTATTATGAAAGAGATTTAATCTTTATTCTCTGTCTCTCCCTCTCTCTCTCTCTCCCTCTCCCCCCCTCTCTTTCTCTCTCTCCCTCTCCCTCTTTCTCTCCCTCTCTCTCTCTCCCTCTCTCTCTCTCTCCCTCTCTCTCTCTCTCCCTCTCTCTCTCCCTCTCCCTCCCACAGGTCAATGGTGTTGATATGACTGATGCTACCCACATGTTTGCAGTCTCTACTCTAAGAAACAGCTCTAAACGCTGCCTCCTAAAAGTCTCTCGTGAAGTACTTGTAGTATTACCAGACGATGCCCCCCTCGACGAAGAAGAGTTCTCAACTTCTCTTGCTAATGGGGACGTGCCACACGCCCACGATCGAGATGAGACCACACCCACCCCTGGAGATGAAAGAGGAGTGACCCCAGAGAGAGTTATCTCGGCTGAAGTCATCACTAGCGATAGAGAGGGAGAGGCTCTTCTTCTTGAGTCAGACGAGAGGGAGGAAGAGGAGGAGGGAGAGGGAGATGAGGAAGAGAAGGAAATCAACGAATTGGCCGACATGTTGTTTGGGGATGATGAACAACAAGAACGAAAAGGAGAAGAGACAGAGGCCAGAGAGGATGAGAATGAGAACACAAGAAGTGACAGAGGAGATCACTACGTTAATAGTCACATCGTTCAAACGCTCCGAGATGAAGCACTGGAAATGGAAAGTGAGGAAACTACGCCCGCAATTAATTAAACTATTATCAATGATTATTTGTTTAATAGAAGCAAGAAAGGAGGAAGAGGAGGAAAGGCTAAGACGAGAGGTAGAGGAGGGAGAAGTCCCTGTAGTAGTTACTGTATCCACAGATAGTGGACTGGACTCGCCTGCTCTTAATAACAACAACAGATCCCAGAATGAAGAGGTGTAGTGTACATGTACTGTACATGTATACATGTACTTTTAACATGTACCATATAGCCAGAAATATTGGCTGGAGTTGAATTTGGCGATGCATGTACATGTACATGTGTATACATGTACACGTACATGTACATGTACATGTACATGTATGTTTACTAATTTGTAATTGACAATTTTTATATTGACAATTTATTAGCCAATCGTTAAGCACGTTCAGAATATAAAACAAAATGGGGAAGGGATTTTGATACGTTTTACATGTACATGTATATTTGTGGGTACTCATTCCAACTGCCATGCAATCTGCCGACACTGTACATGAACATGTGCACGTACATGTACATGTATATCATTGAGTATTATTTCAATTATTACCCTCCATTTCTCTAAAGGTTGTGTCTCTTGATACAAGCCATACTAACATTGGCATGCACATCATTGGGGGGTCTGACTACGTCAATCGAATATTCGGATCCGGCGAGCAAGGGGTCTACATATCGAAAGTAAGCCACACTCCACACACCCCGTCATCTGACTGTCACATGACTAGGTGTCTCCGGGAGGTGCTGCAGCTGCTACTGGTAAGCTGAGGTTTGGTGATCGGATATTATCAGTCAACGGGGTCAATATGGATGGACTGACTCATTCTGAGGCTGTGGAGTGCCTGATATCACAGGAAGGACCTATTGACCTAAGCATAAGACACGAACCACAACCAAAGGGAATGATGGTACGTACACTGTACATGTACATGTACTTGTACTTGTGTTTTGAGTTTTGAGTTTCATACTTTCGATATGAAGTACATGTACTGTATTACTGTTAAAGAAATGAATTGGTGTGAGTCTAGTGTACATGTACATGTACAAATACATGTAAAAAATATGGATTAAGGTGCTGTTTACACAGCAACAAAACGGATGTAATCCGTATAGTTTTTGTGCCTGTTTTATGCTTCTGTTTACACGGAAACGTATAGTTTTTGTGCCTGTTTTTGCTTCTGTTTACACGGAAACGTGTGAAACCTGATAAGATTCTATAGGAGCAAAAAACGGGGTTCAAAGTACATCCGTTTAGAAACTTGACCTTAAAAGCAGTAGTGTCTATTGCTGTTGTTTTTATTGTTTATTGTTATTGTTGTTGTTGTTTTAGGAGGTTACAATAATAAAGAGTAAGAACAGGAAGCTAGGTATCAGTATTAAAGGAGGTGCTCCTACTTCTCACGGTAATCCGCTGGACCATGATGATGAAGGAATATTTATATCCAAAGTAACTAACTATTATTATTTATTATTATTGGGTGAAACCCACTAAGGCGAGAAAAAGCCTACGTGTATATGTACGGGCAGGTTGTCTAACTATTATTATTAAAGTTAAATAGCCTAATTTTCATTGAAAGCAGGTGTGGTCACAATGAAATAAAATGGCAGCTATCAGGAAGTCTTAGTCTCACATAGCCATAGGCAGTGGCAGGGTCGGGCATGGATGGGCAATGCCCGACCAAAAATTTTGACCGGAAATGAGATTTTAATTAATGACCTCATTTTAGTCATGAATAATTATCATAGCTAGCAAGAGACAGTCTTTTTCTGCTTTCCTTTGTCAACAAGCCTTCCAAGAGGACCAGGACTAGCACTTTACAGGTTGAATAGAGCTTTACAGATAAGATAGGAGCCTTTTAGGCGTATTTTTATGGTATATCATATTGTATGCGTGTGTTGAGTATATGCCCAAATTACGTGCAAAAAAGGTGGGTGTGGTCAAAATCACAGTGTGCTTCGCACGCCATTTTTGCCCCACTACTTTTCCAATCCTGCCGCCGCCTATGCACATAGCCAGACCCATCCCCCTTTTGACCCCAATGTCAAAAAGGGGAGGAGTCTGGCTACGCGAAACTAAGCAAGTCTATGCTCATTTGCAATAAACGGTCAGCAAGATAAGACTAAACTGCTATCCAAAATCTTCTCTAGCAGCAAAGAAGGTCATGCAGCACAACAATAGAGTCGCTCGTGGGCTGAGCCCCTTTAACTGTTCAACATTCTTCTAGTTATTATTATTATTATTATTATTATTATTATTATTATTATTATTAAATAAAGAGTGTACATGTACATGTACATTGTACATGTACATGTAGATGCATAAGTGATAGAAATAAAAATAAAAATAATAATTACTTGTACATGTACATGTACATTGGACATGTAGGCGTATTATTCTTGTTGTTGTTATTGCTTACAGATCACGAGAGGTGAAGCTGCAGAAACTGATGGTCGTCTCAGAGTGGGCCAGCGTATACTGGAAGTGAACGGGTTCTCTTTGCTGGGGGCTAGTCACGTTGAGGCTGTACGGTCCTTGAGGAACATCAAAGACACAGCAACGCTACTAGTCTGTGATGGATACTGCTTTGACGACTTTATTAAACGTAAGGGGCATATGTCATGTGATCGACATGTGATTACCGTCTCTATCTGTACATGTACGTGTAGATTTACCGCCCAGGCTGCAAATTGGGAAATTGACAGGAAGTGTTGATGTCCTTAACGACGAGGGAAAAGAACAAAGAACTGTAAGTTGAAGTACACATGTACATGTACAATAGCTTTTTTATTTTTACCATCACATTAATACCTGTCCATGTTTCCATTCTCATTGTATTTGTTTCCGTTCCCATTCTGTTTATTTTCATTCTCGTTCCTAGCATAAGAGGACTCATTCCAGTACCACTTCAGGTGCACTGGTGGATGAGGCTGGGAGGATGGAAGACCTCAATGCCATACTCCAGCAACTGGTCCAATTCAAGACCTCAACTCCTGTAGCTAAAGAGGTAGAAGAGAATAGGGAAGAGGAGGAGAGAGGAGAGGAGAAGGTAGCAGAGATAGTAGACCCTCCTTCAACAATATCTGCACTGGAACAATCTGTTGTTGACATGGTAAGAGTTTAGTTGTTTTTTTTGCTTTATTTTTATAATCATTGTGCTTTCTTTAGGAAAGGGAAGCTGATAAGTTGCTCGAACAGGTACAGTATTAAAATAATATTACATGTACATTTTCTGATACATATTGATGTCCTATGCTATGTTGAAAGTTCAACTAAAACTTTTGAGTTATAAACACTTTTTAAACTTAGCAAATTAAAAAAAAAGCATGGACTATAGCCCATGATTTATTCCGAAAAATGCCTCTGAAATTGCCCCCCGATTTATATTACATTTTCTGATACATATTGATGTCCTTATGCAATCTAGAAAGTTTGAACTTTCTGAAATGATATATTAATATGATGGGTATATTTTTTCTTTAGACTGTGAGAAAAGGTTCATCCACTTCATCACATGCTTCAAGAAGAGAGAGCGTATGTTTTATACGATTTAATGACACACATCTAAGCATATTTCTCCCCCTTCCTCCCTCCTCTAGATTGAGCAGGCCAGATTAAGACAAGAAGAGAAACAAGAGGTTCTACTCTTACATTAATCAACTAATCATTTTATGTATATTGTTGAATTCTTATTAGGAGCTTCAGTCATTTATTAACGAAGTCTTTCTTGAAGATGAAGAAATTGTACGAAAGAACATCACTTACGTTTATATTTATATCTTTTTGTCTATTACTTCTTTTCCTTGTCTCTCCCTCTTTCTCTCTCTTTGTTTAGAATGAATCTACGAAAGTATCTGATGACAAAACTAAGGAGACAGAGACAGAGGAGGGGGATGAAGAGGAGGAGGAGGAGTGGGTAATCATTGACTCTGATTCTGTACGACAAGAAGTTGAGAAGCAGAGATCGTTCAGTGCTTCAACTCCTCCTCCTTCAGAGGATGTTGTTGCTAGTCCAGTCAGACCACAGAGTGCTCAAGGAGTCCATGTCCATAAAACCAAAAGATCTAAAGGTATTACTAAATTGTTTTGTTAAACATGCACACTGTATGTGTCATTATTAGTCATGTACATGTATTTATATGTTATCACTGACTAGCTTTGATTTGTAAAGATTCCTTAATATAATTTTGCTATGACACTTGTACATGTACTTTATTTTTAAAACTATTCATTTTATTATTGCAGAAGCTCCACCCACTCCACCAAAACCCATTGCACTCGTGTCTCCCGAAAAGCTTCCGTTCAGAGAGAGGGTTGCCCTCTACCAGACCAAACTAAATCAAGAGGAGATGTTGAGAAAAGGCGACAACAGGCGGTCCTGGGCCCCGGGCATACACTCGCCTCGGTCCCTCTCACTGTCCCCTGTTCATTCAAAGTGGTCCTCTGCCTCTTATATCCTCAGAAACTCACCAAGTGACACAAGTGAGGGATTGGTTTTAAACCCTTTAAGCTACATGTACATGTACATGTACGTGTAGGTTTACATTGAACAAAATGGTCAAAAGTGCATGGGCGATCTGACCTTTGAAGTGAAAACGCTTTGAAGTTGACGTGAAAGTTGGCCAAGATTAAATAAAATTTTTGAAGTTGACAAAAGTTGCCAAATTTAACTTTTTGCCAAAATTACATGTAAATTTGCGTTGGATTTTTGTGGCAAATGGCAAATGACTGGACCAGGCTTAAGACTGGCTATAATGCACTAACACACTATACCAGCATTATTGGCTATTGCATAATACTTTGTGGTTACACTAACTATTTCTGACTTGTTGCCTTCTGGTGTACTTGTGGAAACAAATTAACCACAAAATTGCATGCCAAGAATGCTATCCCTTGTATGATAATACAAATGTAGCTCTAGGCAGTTCTGTGGTCATGATTTCTTTCTTGAGGGGACCGTTTGGCTTCCTTCTCCTTGGTTTAGCTTGCCCCCCTTCTTGAAGGCTTGATTTTATTATCGAACTATCATTTAACCAATATTAATCGAGGGCCCACGTGACTGAAATCCTAAAAGTAATCTAATTTGATCTGAATGCATAGCATACATTTCCTTGCTAAAGGATTATTGTATCCTGCTCTACTGCTGTGTGTATATAACTTTATTGCCAAAAATAGTTAATAAAGTTAGCTAATAGATGTTTATCCTTTCAATAAAATGCATGTGCATGGACATGTGCATCTGTGTGATCATCTCTCTCTCTTTCTCTGTCACCTGTTTCCCATTGCTCAATCACTCATTGTGCTCTGTTCCTTGTTTTTAAATGTTTCTCTTTTATTCCTTAACCCATAGCTATTAATAAAGAGAATCAGGAGTTGCTATCATTACCAAAGGAATACAGTGGAAGAGAGGAAGACAACGTAAGTCCCACACGTGTGTCTGTGTCAGTTATATTGTGTAACACAAGTACATGTAATTTGAATACAATCGGGAGCTAGTGTAGCATGTACTACACATGTGTAACATTTGATTTCATAGCATGTTCTTTCATATTTTAATCACGTTAGGTCATACATGGATGTGTGACTATTTAGCTGGAATGATGGATTCCTTGCTAGCCAAGTAGTATTGTCATAGTAGCTGCCACTTCCCATGTTTGCTTCGTGTGTCGCTAATTGTTATCATTAGCATTATCTAATGATAATTTTATTATTGTTATCATCGGTATATTAATTTTTATAACATGTGATGCAATTAGTGATTGCATTCTAACAGGAAGATTCCATTAATTTTTGTAAGTAGCTGTGGTTGTGATGCAATGAGATTATATAGGATATACATGTATATATATATACAATACATATATGTAAATGTATATTGTGTGTGTGTGTCTGGCAGGGGGTCGATTGAGTGGGTGATACTGTAATAGCACGTTAGATCATTAATTTTATCAGTTTTATCAGTGTCTGATAATTTAGTGTGTCTAACAATTTGATAATTGCATCAAATTATTGCAACTGTTATAGCTTTTGTTATTATTATTATTATTATTATTATTATTATTATTATTATTATTCATAACTATAATACTACTACATTGTACATGATGACATCATCTCTGATTGATTTTGATAAGATAAAAGATTAGATTTAGCAGTTTAGCACATGTTCTGATTGTAAAAGAAGGTGTAACTGCTATATTTGTTGCTCTGTTATAAATTGTTTCCTTTATTTTACAATGTCTGACAATGTTCCTACTACCTCCTCCCTCTCACAGGCTCAAGGCCAGGACACAGAAAGGGACATTAAATCTTCTTCTGCAGCTTCAGATCCTCCACTCACTCTAAGCCCACTCTCTCCTCCCATTGGGGCCGAAATGCAAATAGAAGAAGAGAAATTGGAGATTGGGGAAGACCCTGGTTTCTCTCCTATTCCCGACGATCAAGAGCCTTCCAAGAAACCTTTATCGATTGACGAAGAACTTTCAAAGAACCCTTACGTCATGCAAGCCCTGGACGCTCTACCAAGCGGCCCAAGTGTTGATGTGTCTCAGCTACCTCCAGCAACGAGTGAAGAACAGAAGAGAAGGAGGGAGCTGAGAGAGAGGCTCAGGAGAGAAATGGATGAAGAGATAGAGCGGGCTTTAGGTCTCCAGACTCCTCCCACTGCTTCGTGATTGTTATTGTTGTTGTTATTGCTTCAAAACATTGTGATTCTTTTTTTATTCAATGTTAGTATATGTTTTCTGTCCACACCTTTCTTTTTTAAACCTTTTACATGACAAATGATAGAGCGAGCGAACGAGAGTGAACAAGAGAGAGAAAGAGAGCGAGATTTGAAATGTGTAATTAATTTATTATTATTATTATTATTATTCGTAAAATAAAAATACAGTAATTCAAAGTCTATATATTGGTTATTATTATTATTATTATTATTATTTGCTATTATTCAACAATCAATTTCAAAGAATGACATACTATTTTCTGTTGTCATTATTACAGTTATTAATTTGTTATTTTTAACGGAGGCACTCTATTGCCCAACAGTCAAATGCAATAGTACACCTTGTACATAATTATGTTATAGCTTGTTTTAAGCTGAAATTCCCTATTCCTAAGAGATTTCAGTGATATAAAAGGCCTGCGAGAGAGAAAGGGGAAATGCTTCTTCCATAGCAACAAAAAAAATTGTATCTCACTCTGTGGAACTTGCTGCTAGTTAATTGAGCAGAATAAATTCATGCGGTCATCGCTCTTGTCCCACTCTGATATTTGCTAAAACTAATTGAGCGGAATAAATTATTATTGATCACAGCTATTGCAATCCCACTCTTTTGGGGGTCAGCTATTAATCATGTGCTATCATTGTTAATGTGTTATGATATCAGATTAGGCATGCAATAATGAAGAGGAGTTGGGCGAGGGAGAGTTCCTTCTGGCTGTCAAATTGATGATCTACCTCGCTTATCAACTGACGGGGGAAAGAAATTAAACGTGTTGGCTCTGATGTTTGTTCAGTTTTTATTTGGCAGTTTCAAACTTGTGTCGTATTTGATTCTAATTATAATTCCCCCAGATACTATATAACGTAACGTGATACTTTAATGTAATTTGATACCCGTGTATATATATATGTCCCGTGATTGTTGACATCTCCACTTCCAAGTACAATTCGTATAATATACAAGTACAGTTTCCCTTCTATTGTAATCTAACACAATAATTAAATAACCTTACTACAGTACAGTAGTGCTTTGTAATGTATTCCTTGCTGTAGATAGTGTCGTCGCTTAATATAATTATAGTGTCAGAGCTGCTTGTATAAAGCTTCAAAGTATGTGAAGCAGTGAAAGTAAACATACATCAACTACACGATAACCCAAAGCCATAACAGTTAATATGATCAAAGATATTCCACACACAGTTTAATATTGAAAGCACCACAGTCATGCTTTTGTTTTTGGACTGGAGAAAAAAGTGATGCATCATGATTGTAATATAATATCAAAATTAAGGTAATTAGCAGTGAATTAATTGTAATATGATTTAGATTTTAGTGATTTTACTGCCATAGGTGGCAGAATTTTTAATTTTCCAGGCTCATTAATTATTCATAACAATTGGGGGTGTGGTCAATTAATTGAATGACTGAAAGTAACTGACACAAACCAATTGAAGCAGTTACCACACTAAAATAACTGTAAAGATGAACTGATACTGTGTATAAAGTTGTGGTTATAAAAAATGAATTCTCACTCCTAATAATAACAAAACACACCTTTTTGGATTAAAGCTACACAGCCAAGAGTTAGCATGTATATGATACAAAACACTGCCCAAAATCAATGAATCGAGCCTGATTACAGTATTGATACAGTCTGACAGGTATCATTACTGAATCATGCCTGCATGTTGCTCTGGCTGAACCAGCTTGAATTCCAACATGATTGTATGAAGGCTGATAGATCAACCTAGGCTCATTGCCATATGAGCTGCCCAACATCCATGATTCAGGATGCATTAGGTCGGATCAGGGCTGACATAATTCATGATTCAATCACAAACTCTTGGCTGTGTAGCTAGCTAGCTACCCAGGCAAAGCCTGGACTTGCCTGGGCCTGCAGCCGCCTATGTTTAGTTGATCTCATTGCTACTTTAACATATGCAAAGCTTAATTGCCTGAAGGGAAAGGCCCTTTCCTGTGTTATATGGCATGCATTATAGGACAGTTCTGATTTGCATTCATTAATTCAAATGAAGCATAAATGTGCTTTCAGCAGGCTTTAATATGCTTCCTGTATGGGAATGAGCTTAGCTGATAGTTTCAATTTGAGTTGTTATAAAAGAGCAGGTACTAAAACTGAGAATCATATGAAGTTGAGTTGACTACTTATATAGTATTTTGAGCTTAATATTCCACAAGTCTTCAATTGTTCTCTGATACGACTTTATTTCAACAAGTTACGGTGACCATGAATCCTGTTTCTACTCTCTCATTACTTTTGCTGTGCATTGCAATGATGGGTCAATCTGATGGAGCAGTCCTGAAGAGAAATGCAGATTCAAACGAGGAAAATCTATTAAAGGAAATTTTAAGAGGTCTCGATTTGTCAAGAACAGTCTATGTAAGTACTAAAACTGCATGCATGCTTTATAAATGGGTTCATGTATGCACAAATATTACACTATTGTATCTGCATGAGAGAATTGCTAGAAGAATGTATATATACTATGAGTTCTACATCTTCAAACTTGAACATTTTAAAATTCATTTTTAGAACAAAGGTTTAAGAGATCAATACAATCTAAAGGATAAAAAAATTCGTGAGACGTTGAATAAAATTCTTCCACTGGTGCTACTAGAAGAGAAACTTTCTGCCCTTCAATATAACGGGAGCGCCCAGACTGGTAGAAAAAACCTTTTGAGATCCTTTAAAGCTACAACATTAAAAGCGATTGAGTCAGTATGCAACTTGGTAAGCTGGCAGAACATACATTTATTATATTATGTATTCTGTGCAATAATAGTATAATCTAAAAATTTGTTTTATTTTTCATAGATCATGGAAACAACCAGTGTGGAAGAGTGCACCATCAGTGAAATGATAAATTTATTCTATTTCATACATTTTCTCAATGAGAGGCAAAGAATATCTCAAGTCATAAAAGACTTAAAACGGACAGATGGCAATAACATAGATCCTTGCTTGTGGTCACACTGCAAGTTATTCAGCAACAAGAAGTATCTTACTAGATCCAGTGCTTTGGAGTACATCAAAGGAAAGCTCTGGCCAGGCCGCTGTGGACAGGATTATCTAACTTATGCAGGAGCTGATAGCACTAAATGTTAAACTCTCTTTCTCTCAATCAATATTCTCTCAATCAATATTAACTTTATTATGCAACCTCACTTTGATTTATTAGTAATTAATAATTAATAATCTTTAATAACAATAAATAATTATTACATTTCTGAATTCTTTGGGTGTGGCTCCAAGCAATAAAATTAAAAAAATAGCCGTGAAATCAGCAGTGAGATGGAAGGAGAGACTGCGAGCCGTTTATTCCACGAAGGAGGCTTCCTCATATTACTTGAAGTGCCTCAGGGAACAGAGATTGGTATAGACTACAACTCATGGAACGTGGGGCCGAAATTCAAAGGGATTAAGATGATACCCCCGGGACTACATATGATATACTACAGGCATGTATTATACATAGCGTATGGAACCCCAGTACTTAGTAATACCCAGTCATATAATGGATTGAGCTGCCCAATCGCCCCCATGCATGGGGCCTGGGGCTAAGCTCCAGTAGGTGGGGCTGAGCTCCAGTGGGTGGAGCTTGTTGCAGGATGTATGCATTATAATAGCATACCGTACGCGTCTTAATTTTCGAGGTGTATTAAATTTCGTTATTTTCGTGCTCACCTTAAATCCACGAAATTTAAACCACCTCTATTGCCATTTTATTGTATGTAGACTATGGCCAGAACACGAAAATTAGCTCACATGAATATTAACTTTTGAGCAAATTTCATTGAAAACACGAAATTTTGAACCCTCGAAAATTTGAACGTATACGGTAGAATGCATTTTCTTTATGTATGCATTTAATTTACTTAGTTTTGCCACACCCAGCAAGGGGCATGACAAGACTAATATTAACGTACTCTAATTTTAAATTTAATTATAAGTTTAATTTTAATATTATTTTTAATTTTTGTCATGTAATTAATGATGCTTAATCATGCATCATATTGTAGTTCAGTTAGTAAAGATGGAAGGGAGACAGGGCCTCGTTGTAGCTTCTTTCATTTCTTCAAACCGAAGGAGGTCATCATTTATAATATTTATGTATATTTTTAAATTATAGTTTGTTTTTGTGCTCAGATTTTGGTACGAGTATGGAATCCTAGAGATGAAGAACTGACAGAAGAAAATGTTGACCAACTACTGATAGACAGACTGAGAGAAAGTAAAATATATTTATTTCTGCATGAGTTGAAAATACCGTCTATCTGGAAATTTTTACTGTGATTTAAATTTTACTGGATTAGAATTTCGCAAAAAAAAATTAGATTACCCATATAATTACATTCCACATTCAATAATACACGACACAGTCTTATTTAGTAAAAATTAAGTCACAGCACAATTTTAAACCGCAAAAATTTCCTACCACACTAATTTCGTGATCTATGGTAAATAAATTTTTGTATTATAGAGCAAATTTATAGATTTTGTTAGACTAGTGCATGCAAATTTTATACCATAGGGTGCCTTGTTTCAAGGGCTGTAAATTTCTCAGATTTCGTAATTTTTTGAAGATCCGCAAAGATCAAATTATTATGGTACAAGGCATAAATTCACAAAAATTAAATCCGCAAAATAGATTTTTAGGCCAATTTGCAAAATTTACAGCCCTAAAAAAAGGCGTCTTATGGTAATAAAAAGCTACAGCACATGATAAGTATGCACATATGCTTTAAAAATTCATAAAAATTCAATTTTGATCGAAATTACAATGTAGCTTAATTTTTTTTACGCAGCATAAGAACATACATGTGTATGATCAAAAAAAATTATAAAAATGGAGAATTTTTTTTGGAGTCATTTTTGAGAAAATTTGGCCACAGACCAAATTTTTGAGTAAGCTTAAAAAATTCAGAAAAATTTTTAACGGAATCAGCTCAAATTTTTTACACAGAATAAGATGTAAATATATCAGACAATAATGAAAATGGAGCTCATTGCTCATGTGTAGCAGCCAGCACTCAAAAAGGACTGCCCTAACTTCTTGTACATTTTTGTTAATGGATCAGGTCACTGTCTTTCATTACCGTACTACAGGTTATTAAGTGCCCTTCGTTGTTAAGTGCCTAGTTCTTATTAGGTGCCTAGCTCAATGCAGCTCTTAGCATGGGTTTGTTAAGCGCAGTACAAAACAGTAGGAGTCCAAGCAGTAGGAGTTAAAGCAGTAGGAGTCCAGACACTTTTTATAAGCGTGGTGGCCACAAACCAGACTGACAAAAGAGTATTCTTCACCACCCGCCATTGTAAAGCCAGTAAAGTGATTAATTAATTATTATTGTAAACCACACCTACTGTATTTATTAAGCGCTGAGTCATTATTAAGCACTCATTTTTCTGTCATTTTCTGCATAAGCGCCTACACCTAATAACCTGTTAGTACTATGGTATCCTTATACAGTACTAGGACTTTGTTTGATTAGTAGAAATGTACCTATTTTAATTTAATATCGTTTGTGTATGCATTAATTACTTTCATTACATAATCAGCTAGCTTTTGTATATATACATGTTGTTACTGAAACCTAATTCTTAAATTGTCTAGTATGTTGTTGTTCCTGGCGGATATAAATAATTTGTTTCCCTTCCCTTTTTGCAACAAATAAAGATTAATGAGTTTAAGTATGGCGTTTGTTACACTTGCTGTAACAGTAAGTCCCTTGTTTAGTAATTTAATTCCTATTGATATTGGAGTGGTATTTACAATTACTTCAGAATGTAGTAAGTCTAGTAAAAACAGAGTCTAGAGTTATACCTGTTATGCATTTAGGCATTTAATTTAACAATTTTATATAGAAAGATCACAACTTAAATTTTTCAAGTTATAACCATGCATTTTTGAAACATAGCAAATTTTAAAAAACATGGTTTTCTTTCAAAAATGGCTCTAAAATCACCCACAATTTTTATTACATTTTTTGATTGATGTTCCTATGCTGTGTAGAAAGTTTGAACCAATTCCGAGCTCAATTTCAAAAAACTAGCAAATTTCGAAAAACACCCAAGGCTATAGCCCATGGTTTTTTTCCGAAAAATGGCTCTGAAATCACCCCAAATTTTTATTAAATTTTCTGATACATATTGATGTACATATGCTGTGTAGAAAGTTTGAGGTGATTTATAGATTTTGCTAGACTAGTGCATGCAAATTTTATACCGTGGGGTGCCTTGTTTCGAGGGCTGTAAATTTCTTTGATTTTGCAATTTTTTGAAGATTCACAAAAAATCACTTCCGCAAAAATCAAATTATCATGGTACAAGATGGCAGATGGCATAAATTTACAAAAATTAAATCCGCAAAATAGATTTTTAGGCCAATTTGCAAAATTTACAGCCCTCAAAAAAAAGGTGTCCTACAGTAATGAGAAGTTACAGCACTTGAACAGTATGCACATATGCTTTAAAAATTCATAAAAATTCATAAAAATTCAATTTTGATTGAAATTACAATGTAGCTTAAATTTTTCTACACAGCATAAAAACATGCATATGTATCAGAAAAAATTATAAAAATGGAGAATTCTTTCAGAGTCATTTTTGATAAAATTCGGCCACAGACCAAATTTTTGAGTAAGCTTAAAAATTCAGAAAAATTTTTAACGGAATCAGCTCAAAGTTTTTACACAAAATAAGATGTAAATGTATGAGAAAATTTATGAAAATGGAGCTCTTTGCTTATGCGTAGCAGCCAGCACTCCAAAAAGGACTGTCCTAACTTCTTGTACATTTTTGTTAATGGATCAGGTCACTGTTTTCCATTACCGTACTAACAGGTTATTAAGTGCCCTTCGTTGTTAAGTGCCTAGTTCTTATTAGGTGCCTAGCTCAATGTAGCTCTTAGCATGGGTTTGTTAAGTGCAGTACAAAACAGTAGGAGTCCAAGCAGTAGGAGTTAAAGCAGTAGGAGTCCAGACACTTTTTATAAGCGTGGTGGCCACAAACCAGACTGACAAAAGAGTATTTTTCACCACCCGCCATTGTAAAGCCAGTAAAGTGATTAATTAATTATTATTGTAAACCACGCCTACTGTATTTATTAAGCGCTGAGTCATTATTAAGTGCCCGTTTTTCTGTCATTTTCTGCATAAGCGCCTACGTTTAATAACCCGTTAGTATGGTATCCTTATACAGTACTAGGACTTTGTTTGATTAATAGAAATGTATCTATTTTAATTTAATATTGTCTGTGTATGCATTGCTTTCATTATACAATTAGCTTTTGTATGTATACATGTTGTTACTGAAACCTAATTTTAAAATTGTCTAGTATGTTGTTGTTCCCGGCGGATCTAAATAATTTGTCTCCTTTCCCTTTTTGCAACAAATAAAGATTAATGAGGTTAAGTATGGCGTTTGTTACACTTGCTGTAACAGTAAACCCCTTGTTTAGTAATTTAATTCCTATTGATATTAGAGTGGTATTTACAATTACTGCAGAGTGTAGTAAGTCTAGTAAAAACAGAGTCTAGAGTTATATACCTGTTATGCATTTAGGCATTTGATTTAACAATTTTATATAGAAAGATCACAGCTTAAATTTTTCAAGTTATAATCATTTTTGAAACGTAGCAAATTAAAAAAAACATGGTTTTTTTTAAATGGCTCCAAAATCACCCCCAATTTTTATTACATTTTCTGATACATATTGATGTCCCTATGCTGTGTAGAAAGTTTGAACCAATTCCGAGCTCAATTTCTAGAGTTATGGGCACTTTTTAAAACCAGCAAATTTGGAAAAACACCCAAGGCTATAGCCCATGGTTTTTCCCAAAAATTGGCTCCAAAATCACCCCAAATTTTTATTCAATTTTGTGATACATATTGATGTCCTTATGCTGTGTAGAAAGTTTGAGATGATTTCGAGCTCAAATTCTGGAGTTATGAGCACTTTTTAAAAACTAGCAAATTTCGAAAAATACTCAAGGCTATAGCCCATGGTTTTTTCTGAAAAATGGCTCCGAAATCACCCCAAATTTTTATTAAATTTTCTGATACATATTGATGTCCTTATGCTATGTAGAAAGTTTGAGACGATTTCGAGCTCAAATTTTGGAGTTACGCGCACTTTTTAAAAACTAGCAAATTTTGAAAAATACCCAAGGCTATAGCCCATGGTTTTTCCCAAAAAATGGCTCCAAAATCACCCCCAATTTTTATTACATTTTCTGATGTATATTGATGTCCTTATGCTATGTAAAAAGTTTGAAGTGATTCTGACTGAAATTTTTCAAGTTATGACCATTTTAAAAAGTAGTAAACTTTCGAATGAAACCATGGACTATTGTATAGCCTATGGTTTTTTAAATGGCTCCGAACTTATTGATGTCCTTGGAAAGTTTTAGCTAATTCCAGTTGTTATAATTGTTTTTATTAAAATTTTATTTGGCTTTTCCCATCTCATCACCTTCTTCACTTTGTTGGTAAATTATGAAGATAATTGTGCCAACAGTACATCAACTTAATTAACAAATGTGTCCTATTATGTTAAAAGCTCTCTTCCTGTGCCTCCCCCTTATTGTAGTGCTTCTCCCGTGAACATGTGACACGTGTAGATATTGTATCTAATTGACAATGTCCTTTTGTTGACTTGTTTGTGTATTTTGTTGACGTCTTGTAAATGAGTTTAATTTGATATTTCCATGAGTGATTGCTTGGGAGTTTTCTTACCTTATCTTTCTTTTCTTATCTGTGTCTTTTATTCCCTTTCTCTTTTTGTGCTTTCATTTTTTGCAGATTTATATGAAATGGATAATTGTCTTGGTCCATATCCTTACGAGCATTTAAAGAAATGGCTGGCCCTTACCAACTATATCACACCTTCTCTTGTTGAGAGGTAGAGAGAGAGGGAGGGAGAGAGAAGGAGAGAGAGAGAGGGAGGGAGGGAGGGAGGGAGGGAGGGAGGGAGGGA